AATCCTCTTAGGGCAGGGTATAACCGAACAAAGCCTAAGGAAATTACACCTAATAGAAAAGTGCAAGAGAGGAGTGCATATTCTAACCTCACTCTTGCCCTAGTCTAATTTACAATCCTCAACTTCAATACTGTCTACATTACAACTCCGAACTCTTAAAACCAGTCAGGATTCAACCCTCCCTTCCCTATTGACCGGTTTTGACCCGTTGACCCGTTGACCCGTTTTGGGTTCCTCCAAACCTGATGGGCCCTAAACTATGGATCTTAGGCCCAGTTCTTTTGGCCGATTCTCCCAAAATCTAGATAATCGACCCTCCACCCAGCTTCTCTCAGAATCTTGAACTCATATTTTTTTTGACAATCCTAGCTGTTTACATCCTAACTAGCTAGGATTGTAAAAAAGATATGGGTTCAAGATTCTGGGAGAAGCTGGGTGGATGGTCGATTCTCAAGATTCTGGGAGAAATGACCAAAAGAACTGGGCCTTAATACTTTACTAATCAATTTTAATTTTTGTATTAGTTTTTTTAGAAAACTTTCAATCTATTTATCTTCAACCATGACAGTACAACAAACATTAGGAATAATAAAAATTACTTCCAGATCCGTGGATCACCTATCGACGACTACAAGCGCTGAAGCGAGCCGAAGGCGTGCCGCCGTCATAGCCCCTCCCCCGCGAGAGCAAGGCAAAATTTGTTGTAGTAGACAGTCGGGAAGTCGTCGTGCTAAGACCCTATAAGACCAGCGCAACAGAACAACAACTACCGCGGATGAAGAGTACCGTAGATCAGAAGTATCAAATTGAAGATAGACGAGCATAGATGAACCAAGACCAGATCCGAGCAAATCCACTAAGGACAGATCCGCCGGAGACACATCTCCACATGCCCATCGACGATGCTAGACACACTACTAGAATGGGGGCTAAGCAGGGAGAATCTTATTCCATCTTCAGGGAGCCGTTGTTGTCTCGTCTTCTAGAGTAGGACACAAACTCAAACAAAACTCGAAGGGATAGCTAAAAACAGAGCCCTCCAGCCGGCAAGGACTGGAATCCATCGCGCCGCCACGGCCCTAAGGCCACCAGAGACGACGCAGATTGTCGATGGCGCCGGCGGGAGGTAGAGGAACCTAGACATTTCTTAGGAAAAGAGGTGTTGTGGCATGAACAACCGTTAGTTCTTTTTATTAGTTCACAGAGGGAGTACTTAATAGTACTATTGACTTTGACCGTTCTCCAAATCTACACCTTGACTGTAATAATACTATCATAATATTATGGAAATGTAGTGTTACACAATAAAATTTGATGAACCATATATTGCATAATAACCAAATTATAAATATTCAAAAAATCTCATTAGTCATATGTGAAGAGACTAGTCCAATAAATAGTGTCAAGTGAATGGGAATGAGAATATTTTTGTTCGTTTCATCGTTTCACTTTTCACTGATAACTTTCTCAAAAGCTATTTGAACCCTTAAACTCAGAACCCTTGTTTAGACCTAAACCGTCAAATCAATTAACTTACCCTCCTTTCCCACCATCGGCAGTTTTGAGCTTACACAGATGACACGTATATAATGGCGATGCCAGATGATTCCTGTGTAGTAAATTGACTACACATGAATTTGACAAAAAAAAAGCCATATATATCTTTAAATCATGCAAGAAACACATAATTCATAAAAATACGTGCATTTCACATAACAACTTTGAATTGAAATCACAACTTTCAACTCCTTCCTTCGTCAGTGCATGTTTAGCTTGTATAAGTTCGCAACCATGCATCTAATTAAATGACAAAAAAAATCTAGAATCTACGAAGTGCAATAATAGTTGAATTTGAATTAGCATAAATTAATCATAATATAAACAACTCAATAAACAAACTTCTACACTTAAATGATTAGGTTGAGATGGGCATATTATCCGATATCTACCCTCTCCATTGTATCGAGTAATCAATGTACTATGTTTTCAAATTATTTGTGTGTTACTACATGTGTTATCAAATTTTCTGATCATTCCGATTTTTGTAAATTTATGGTTTAGGGTTGAAAAAAATATTGTAACCCGGCATTTTTATTATTCAACAATGCCAAGCAAAACTACTGAACAAATTGGTTAGAAAAAACAAAATAAAAACACAAGGTCGTCTGAAATGAGTCTGCCTTTGCGGCAGACTCTCCAGAAAACTACCGCACTCTCCAAAAAACTACCACATGCCATTTTTGGTGAAAGCTTACCGAAAAAGGTTTTTTTACCCAAAAAGTTTTGGTGAAAGCTTACAAAACAACATAAATTCAAGCATCAAATTAAAACAACAACAAACACAACAACGAAGCCTTTAGTCTCAAACAAGTTGGGATAGGCTAAAGGTGAAACCCATAAAATCTCGCGACCAACTCATGGTTCTGGCACATGGATAGCAAGCTTCCACGCATCCTTGTCCATAGCTAGTTCTTTGTTGATACTCCAGTCCTTCAGATCTCTTTTTACGGACTCGTCCCATGTCAAATTCGGTCTACTCCGACCTCTCTTGACATTACCCGCACGCTTTAGCCGTCCTCTATGCACTGGAGCTTCTGGAGGCATGCGCTGAATATGTCCAAACCATCTCAGACAATGGTGGACAAACTTCTCTTTTATTGATGCTACCCCAACTCTATCTCGTATATCATCATCTCGGACTCGATCCTTCCTCGTGTGGCCACACATCCACCTCAACATGCGCATCTCCGCCACACCTAAGTGTTGAACATGTCGCCTTTTAGTCGGCCAACACTCAGCGCCATACAACATCGCGGGTTGAACCGCCGTCCTGTAGTTAACACGAAAAACGTCACAGTACCTTTCTGTTTGGCAACCACTAGCTGGCCACTAGAAATTGTTTCTGGAACCACGGGGTGGCAATCAACCAAGCATGTATGCTTATAGTTACAAAACCAAGGTTGTAGAACACTGTTCTTCGTGACATTGGAAAGACATGTGATGATTTCTTTGCCTTCCAATACGTAACACTTGCTTCCCACTCTCATATCAAATATGACCAAATTTGATGGTTTGAACCTACGACGTATGATGCTACAGCACTACCCCCACCACAGAAGCCGTTGAGATCTCCTTGTTCGCCAGGTGGTCTTCATTTGCTTCCAGAAACCCATCGGCTGGATAGCACCAGATTAACATGGCAGAACGTAATGAGTGTCCTCCTTCGACTGACAGATGATCCCAACAATGCATCCAATGAAGCCACTCGGTCGTGGACATGGCATACGTCTGCACCGAAATGCTTTACTCGGAAGCAGGAAGAAGAGAGCAAATAATTGCTTTAAATAATGCCCGGAATGCCCCTACGGCGAGCATATAAATCCAGCAGGGAGCTCTGCATATTTCCTTCAACTCAAGGTCTTGCTTGGTCTCTCTTGCTCCTTGAGTTCCCTATCCAGAAGCTTCTAGGCTTTAGCCTCTAGCTCTAGCTAACTTATCTTCTACTTAACCAAGGCTTTGCAGCCAGCAAGAAGTACCATATATATCATCACCATGGGTGGCTACGGCGACTTGTTCGAGAAGGCCAAGCCTTACATCGCCATGATCTGCCTGCAGTTCGGCTACGCCGGCATGAACGTCATCACCAAGGTCTCGCTCAACGGCGGCATGAGCCACTACGTGCTCGTCGTGTACCGCCACGCCTTCGCCACCGTCTCCATCGCGCCATTTGCCCTAATTTTCGAGAGGTATGTAGACACGAACGATCCATGGACGAGCTAGGGCCGACCAGATAGTGTGCATGCATTTTCTTCTTCTTTGCTACATGCATGGTTCACTAGCCTGAATTGAAACTAATGGTACGATGAACTTGATCTGAAATGACAGAAAGGTGAGGCCGAAGATGACGTGGTCGTCCTTCCTCCAGATCTTCGTGCTGGCACTTCTCGGGTTAGTTCTCCTGTCATTTTGACTTTTGAGCACCCAGCCTAAGTACTTTAAGAAGGGAGACATAAGTGGACACTCCAATATGGAGACTTACCCTTTTGTCAAGAAACAAAAGGTGTCCGCCAAATGTTCTTTTTTTCCAGCAGCTAGCTGCATGTACGCCATTTTTTTTTTGTCAGCTTGCCTGATATACTAACGTGTAACATGAGCTAAACCCTATGCATGTTGTCGATTACTGCAGGCCTGTGATCGACCAGAACTTCTACTATGTGGGTCTCAAGTACACTGGCCCGACCTTCGCATGCGCCATGAGCAACATCCTTCCAGCCATGACCTTCGTGATGGCCTTCATCTTCAGGTATATACTCCGTACATGCATGATGCATGCATCTCTTCTGAGAATCTGAGATGAATACTAGCGTGATCGCGACGTTGGAGCTAGCAAAACATTTTTTGACATTTTTTGGATTGTGTCCGAAAAAAATCATAGGATGGAGAAGGTGGACCTGAGAAAGGTGCGGTGCCAGGCGAAGGTGGCCGGGACGGTGGTGACGGTGGCCGGCGCGATGCTGATGACGCTCTACAAGGGCCCGCTGATGCGGATGGCGTGGACGAGCCACGGACAGGCCCACGGCGGCGAGGCCCCGGCCGTCGATCCCACGGGCAGGGAGTGGTTCCTCGGCTCGCTCTTCATCATCATCGCCACCCTCGCCTGGGCTTCTCTCTTCATCCTCCAGGCTCACACCCTGAAGCAGTACTCGGCACCGCTCTCCCTTACCACGCTCATCTGCTTCGTCGGCACCCTCCAGGCCATCGTCGTCACCTTGGCCATGGAGCACCGCCCCTCCGTCTGGACCATCGGCTTCGACATGAACCTCCTCGCCGCCGCATACGCCGTCAGTACACTTCTCTACTCACCATATGCATGCGTCTTGTCTCCTCATACATCGATCGATCGCATGCAAGATCTCATATGTAGTATCGTATGACTGATGTTGCAGGGCATCGTGACGTCGAGCATAGCATACTACGTGCAAGGCCTGGTGATCCAGAAGACCGGGCCGGTTTTCGCGTCGGCCTTCAGCCCGCTGATGATGATCGTGGTGGCCGTGATGGGCTCCTTCATCCTCTCCGAGAAGATATACCTGGGCGGCGTCCTCGGCTCCGTCCTCATCGTCATCGGGCTCTACTCCGTGCTCTGGGGAAAGCACAAGGAGACGCAGGCAGAGTCTGCGGCTCTGCGGGAGGCCATGGCCTCCATCAACTCCAAGGGAGACGGAGACGCCGTACACGGGCACGATCCTGAGTGCGAGAAAGCCAACGGAGCACCCAAGCCATCCTCCAACGGACACGGAGCTAGTGCAGTCTGATCAAGAGATTCCAACTGCTTCCAAGTGCTAACTGCGGGTGCGCGCGCGCGTCTGAACGAAATGTCTCGTCACTGACGTTGCATGCACTAGGGCTGCATGATAATTTTGCGCCGTGCCTTTTATTTTTGTCCTCTTGTATGATTTCCACAACCAACGACTATATTACCCCAGTACGCCCTGTACTTTTGTTCTTCTGTTTTATTATCGGGGGAGAAAGAAATGTGTTCCGGCAAGGGGTATGTACGTGTTCGTGTAAGAGAATTTTGAGCGTTTTTGTGATCCCGGCTTAATTTCGAAATAAATATCAGTTTGAAAAAATATAGTTCAATTCTGTGATAAATATCAGCTGGTTGTGACAACATCTAGGGTTCCTCAAATCATGCGACATCTCACGTCGGGTAATTGACAAACTTGAAAATCAAAACCCCGTGTGGTAAAATTCGCGTGGTATTCTATTAATTTACTGATCAATTAGTAGCTTCTTCTTAATAACTAATGGATAAAGATCTTCTCTATGTGAAGTGAAGGAACCTTCCTGAATGCAACTTCGGCCGCCACCAGAAAACCTAGATAAATCTACGGCCGACTCCTTTCCCTCTTGCCCCGCCAGAGTGCGTCCGCCGCGTAGCTGGCCAAACGGGCCGGCCCGGCACGGCATGGCCCGGCCTGTGCTAATCGTGCCTGGCCTGGCACGGCCTGCCATGGCACGTTTAATAGCCGGGCCGGTCCGTGGGGGCTGCTCCTTGGCCCAGGCACGGCTTGATTAGTAAACGGGCCAGCCCAATGGCCCATTTAGCACGCTGGGCTGCACATTTTCAGCCTCTTGGGCTGGTTTTTAGGCCTATTGGGCTATATCTTAGGTATACATATATAAAAAAATCTGAAAAATATAAAAAAATTAAACGGGTTGTGCCGTGCCGGTCCGCATGCCCAGACTCCAGGCCCAGGCACGGCCTAGGGCGTGTCGCCTGCCGGGCACAGCCCATTTAGCTCGCGCCATGCCTGGCCCATGGCGGGCTGTGCCAGCGTGCTCACGGGCTAGCCTGTTTGGGCCGGCCCGTTCGGCCAGCTATAGTCCGCCGGCAGGGAGGTCCAACTTGTGAATGATTGGTGCATCAATTTGGCGGAGAGTCTCTGTGTCTTAGACGGGGCGGCGAGACACGGCGTTGCCTCAGTTTAGGAATAATGCCCTCCCTGTCCTATCCTCGCCCTATCGGCGCACTTAGAGCAACTCCAACGCGCCGACCCAAACGAACGTGCGCTTTATCCGCTTTTCGTCCGTTTGGGTCGGCCGGATGTGTTTGTCCGCTTTTTCATTTGGATCAGTCGGTCTGCCCAACGGCAGACAGACCCATTTTTGACATGTCCGCCCCGGTATTTTGTCAAACACGTAGCAGGCAGGAGAGCTCGCAACGGCTAGGCGTGGGGAGGCAAGGCCGATGTCTGCAGGAGCACCGGCCGGGCGCGGGCGTGAGGTGAGGCCGACGGTCGAGCTCAAACCCCACACCGGCAACACGAAGCAGGGCGAGCGCAGCGAGCACGATGGCGCGCCGTGGCTGGACGCAGCGAGGTGAGATGGCTAGGCACGCACGCGCGGCTAGCTGCTAGCTAGCTCGCATGCACGCAAGGGGTGGGCAGGAGTAGCTTCGATGGGGGACAGGGGATGGGCGCTGAGTGAGGAGTAGCTCCTACATGGATGGGCGCCGGCGTGGAGGAGCGTGACGTGGGACGAGATGTGGTGCGTGGGTGGTGGGCCAGCGGAGAGAAAAAGTAGGACAGAGAAGTGGGTCTATGACAGGTAGGCCATGCCTCACATGCAGCGGACGGAAGCGGACACAGAAAATGTTCACTTTGTATCCGCCTCGGACCCAAATGCAACCCAAATTTGAGACTGAAATGGGTCTAAGCGGACCCAGAACAGACACAAAATATGGATGGGTCCGCGCGTTGGGCCGACGCTTTTGTCCGTTTTGACCCAAATGAACACGCGCAGACGAAATGGGTCGCCAGTTGGAGTTAGCTCTTAGTGCCAGTGGAGAGTGTGTGGAGGTGTGTCTCCAACAGATCTTCCTGCATCCGGTCGGTTTTGGTCTCCGGTGGATCTGCTGGATTCGGTCATCGTTCATGATATTTGAAGTATGTACACACTTTTTCACATCTCGTTTTCCGAGGCAGTGATTTGCTACATAGATCACGATGGCCGACATCTTCTGCTCTACATCGACGACTTCTCGGACATTGCTTCTACAAGTTTCTAGGTTCAAACAAGTTTGCTCAGTCGAGACGAAGGCCTAGAGACGACATCGAGTTTTGTTCATAGCGCACCGCCGATGGATGCAGGAGGAAGATTTGAGCTCCCATAAGAAATTAGATGGAATTTTCTTTTTTGTGTAAGGGTGCGTTTGTAAAGACTTGTGATACTTAATTAGTACTTTTTCCGTCCTGGTTTATTAGCCCCTCTTGTAGTTTAGGTCAAACTTTGAGCTTTGATTTAACTACCCAAAAAAGTAAATAATAGTATCATAGGAAATCTTTTTTAAATATAATCCAATAATATTTCTAACATACTGCTTATATTTTGTTAGTCAAATCTACGGTTAAAATTTGACACAAAACACGTAGAGGATCAATAAACTCGGATGGAGGTAGTATATGGCCTTAGGGCAGCTCTAACGCGGGCCCTAAAATTGCCCACAAATGTCCGGATCGAGCTATCCGAACACGCTTTGCCATCCAATGAGGACCCGTGTTTGTCCGCGGATGCACTTTACTATGGAATGAGGATCCATATCTGTTCGTGGACTCGTCTGCACGTCTGTTTTCCTGCTAATCGGATGCAAACCAGGAGAGTTTTGCAGGAGTCCGGGCCTCCGCCACGTAGGAGCCCGTGAATTGGACCGATCCGCACTGTTCCACGCTAAAACCATTGCTTTCCCCATCCTCTCCACTCCGATCACCGTCACCCTCCACCCCAATTACGCTCGTGTTATGATGTTAAAGCACTTGGCAGCCCAGATAAAGACGGTCAATGTGGACAAACCGGCAGCAGAGTTAGCGAGGAGTCACAGACATTTGGTCTGGGAGGGCACATATGCCCTTTTTGGAGGGACTATTAGTCTGAAACCTTTTGACCGGGTGCATGTAAAAACTATAAACATCCGGAGTTTTTTTTAGATGGAACACTCGTATTTCATTTATATCACGGCAACATTGCCGGTTACATGACGGGTTACATCGACAAGGAAGCCATCCAGCCAAAACATTTGCATCCGTTTTTTGTTGTTGTTGTTGTGATCAGCCGCTATGAACATCACATTTGAAATAAAGGAGACCCTATCTGTTCATACTTTTAGGATGTAGTTGGATGGCCGGCTTTTGTATCTGTATCCGAATCCACATCCGTGGATGGATAGTGTCCGTTTTAGGGAACCACGTCGGAGACGCCCTTACAAAAAATCAGAGCTCATGTTGATTTCGCCAAGACATTGCATGCAGGTGGACAGACACCTAGTGGGTATGTTCTAATCGAACGTCATGTATGTTCAGTGCGAACGGCATTCCACTCATCGACTGAATGTCTCTCTCAACGCCTCTAGGACACCGTTAATGCACTTATGGAGTGCATTTGTGCAGAGGCGAGTGCTGCGTCAGCCAGATCGACTGTTAAGGAATATGGATCGTGGACTTGGATTCAGATTCCACTAGCAAAGTACACCAGCGCACCATGGCAAGTCGCAACAAAAAATACACACCCTACGTGAGAAATGTTCAGAAACTCTGCGAGATCTTAACTGGCTATGTTAGCAGCCCAGGCAGGCTGGCTCCACCAGGCAGCGACTCCATCGCTGCCTCACGACACCAATGAGACAGGAGGCCCAACCCGCGCAACATTGGGCCGGAATGGGCCAGCTGAGGCCCAGGCTCACCTACAAAAACTACAGAGGATCACGGCAGAACCGGCGGCGGCAACCCTAGTTATCTAGTTCATCTAGTTTCCCCTTCTGCAAGAACTCCAACAGCATATCGAGCTTCTCCTCTCCCCCCACCCCCGCATCGTAGGCCGCTCCGGCCGCAGCGGCCACCAGATCCGGCCATTATGGCCGCTGGCTCCACCCCAACCACCCCGCCTCCCCCGGCCGGTGCCCCCCGCCGCCTGCTGGGGGCTCGCTTCGATCCGTTAGCCACTCGCTGCCTTCCTCCCCGCGGTCAGCTGCCTCGATGATCGCTGCGTCAGATCCAGCCTCGTCGCCGCGAATCCTGCAGCGCAATGGTTCCTCCAAGACAGGCGCGTCGCCCGGACTGCCAGATCTTTGCCAGTCGCCTTGTGGGGGGCCGGCGCGCCTTAAATCTTTGGTAGTTCACCCTTCCTCCCCAGTCCTTGTTTCCTCTTCGGGCCAGGCCGGAGAGATGGAGGATGGATGGACGGAGGTCCATTCCCGGAAGAAAGGAAGGGCCAGCTCCGGCTCGACGGATCGAAGAGGGCATGCCTCGTTTCCGTGCTCGGACTGCCGCAGTTCCTTCAATGCGGCCGTGGGCCGGGACGCCTTCTTAAGCATGTTCAAGGGGGATTGTTTCCGCTGCCTCAGTAAGCGCCACCGTCGCATAGACTGCCGTGATCCCCTCCGCTACATCATTTGCAAGTGAGCTGGGCATTACGGCAAAGAGTACCTACAAAATCCAAGAAACGGGGATCCAGGAGGGGCTGCCGTGATCGTCTGAAGCCACCTGCGGCGGCGAGAGACCCGGTCCGGGATTGCCTTGTCTTCCCGCCCGCGCCTCCTCCCGCGCCCATGGATCGCCTCCACCTCTGCGACCCGGCTAGGCGGCCGCGGGAGAGCAACAAGGTGATTGTGGCCACCCCGGCGCTAGAGATCGAGGAGCACCTATTGCGCCAGCACACTGATACGTCTCCAACGTATCTATAATTTTTGATTGCTCCATGCTATATTATCTACTGTTTTGGTCAATATTGAGCTTTATTATCCACTTTTATATTACTTTTGGGACTAACCTATTAACCGGAGGCCCAACCCAGATTTGCTGTTTTATGTCTATTTCAGTGTTTCGAAGAAAAGGAATATCAAACGGAGTCGAAACGGAACGAAATCAACTGGAGAAGTTATTTTTGAAACGAAAGCCACCCGATGGACTTGGACCCCACGTCAAGGAAGGAAGGAGGAGCTCACGAGGGTAGGGGGCGCGCCCACCCCCCTGGGACGCGCCCTCCTGTCTCGTGGGGCCCTTGTGGCTCCCCTGACGTGCTTCTTCTGCATATATAAGTCCATATACCCTAAAACTTTCAGAACGCAAAATAGATCAGGAGTTCCGCCGCCAGAAGCCTCCGTAGCCACCAAAAGTCAATCGGGACCCTGTTCCGGCACCCTGCCGGAGGGGGGAACCCTCACCAGTGGGCATCTTCATCATCCCGGCGCTCTCCATGACGAGGAGGGAGTAGTTCTCCCTCGGTGCTGAGGGTATGTACTAGTAGCTATGTGTTTGATCTCTCTCTCTCTCTCGTGTTCTTGAGGTGATATGATCTTGATGTATCGCTAGCTTTGCTATTATATTTGGATCCTATGATGTTTCTTCCGCCCTCTTCTCTCTTGTAATGAATCGAGTTTCCCCTTTGAAGTAATCTTATCGGATTGAGTCTTTAAAGACTTGAGAACACTTGATGTATGTCTTGCCATGGATATCTGTGGTGACAATGGGATACCACGTGCCACTTGATGTATGTTTTGGTGACCAACTTGCGGGTTTCGTGACATTGGGATCCTATGCATAGGGGTTGGCACTGTCGTGATTCTCCGGTAGAAACTTTGGGGCACTCTTCGAGGTTCTATGTGTTGGTTGAATAGATGAATTGAGATTGTGTGATGCATATCGTACAATCATGCCCACGGATACTTGAGGTGACAATGGAGTATCTAGGTGACATTAGGGTTTTGGTTGATTTGTGTCTTAAGGTGTTATTCTAGTACGAACTATAGGGCTGTTTGTGACACTTATAGGAATAGCCCAACGGATTGATCGGAAAGAATAACTTTGAGGTGGTTTCGTACCCTACCATAATATCTTCGTTCGTTCTATGCTATTACTGACTTTGGAGTGGCTCTTTGTTGCATGTTGAGGGATAGTTTTATGATCCAATTATGTTAGTATTATTGAGAGGACTTACACTAGTGAAAGTATGAACCCTAGGCCTTGTTTACCATCATTGCAATACCGTTTACGCTCACTTTTATCACTTGCTACCTTGCTGTTTTTATTATTTCAGATTACAAAAACTATTATCTACTATCCATATATCACTTGTATCACCATCTCTTCGCCGAACTAGTGCACCTATACAAATTACCATTGTATTGGGTGTGTTGGGGACACAAGACTCTTTGTTATTTGGTTGCAGGGTTGCTTGAGAGAGACCATCTTCATCCTATGCCTCCTACGGATTGATAAACCTTAGGCCATCCACTTGAGGGAAATTTGCTACTGTCCTACAAACCTCTGCACTTGGAGGCCCAACAACGTCTACAAGAAGAAGGTTGTGTAGTAGACATCAAGCTCTTTTCTGGCGCCGTTGCCGGGGAGGTTAGCGCTTGAAGGTATATCTTTAGATCTTGCAATCGAGTCTTTTAGTTTCTTGTTTTATCATTAGTTTAGTTTATAAAAGAAAACTATAAAAAAATGGAATTGAGTTTGTCTCATACGCTTCACCTTTTTAATATGTTTCGTGAGTATGATAGAAAGGATAATTGTGCTCAAGTGCTAGAAGAAGAAATCTATAAAATGTTTGGCACTAAATATTTGAATGATGAGCATGATGGCAATGTTGTTAGTATGAATTCCTTGAATATCCATGATGCTAATGATATGCAAAGCCACAAGCTTGGGGAAGCTATGTTTGATGAAGATGATATTTTTTGTCCCCCAAGCTTTGATGAGCAAATTTATTATTATGAAAGCATGCCTCCTATCTATGATGATTATTGTGATGACACGTATGCTTTAAAGAACAATGATAACCATGAAAATTGTCATCTTGATCTTAATTTTCAATCACATGATAGTTATTTTGTTGAGTTTGCTCCCACTATTATTCATGAGAAGAAATTTGCTTATGTGGAGAGTAGTAAATTTTCTATGCTTGTAGATCATGAAAAAAATGCTTTAGGTGCTGGTTATATTGTTGAATTCATTAATGATGCTACTGAAAATTATTATGAGGGAGGAATATATGCTTTTAGGAATTGCAATAATATCAAGTTTCCTCTCTATGTCCTTAAAATTTTAAAGTTATGCTTGTTTTACCTTCCTATGCAAGTTGATTCTCGTTCCCATAAGTTGTTTGCTTACAAAATCCCTATGCATAGGAAGTATGTTAGACTTAAATGTGCTAGTCATATTCTTTATGATGCTCTCTTTATATTTTAATTCTTATCTTTTATGTGAGCATCATTGAAATCATCATGCCTAGCTAGAGGCGTTAAACGATAGCGTTTGTTGGGAGGCAACCCAACTTTATTTTTGTTCCTTGATTTTTGTTCCTGTTTAGTAATAAATAATTCATCTATCCTATGCTTAGATGTGGTATTATGCTTTTAATTAGTGTTTGTGCCAAGTAGAACCTTTGGGAAGACTTGGGGGAAAGTCTTGTTGATCATGCTGTCAAAAAACAGAAACTTTAGCGCTCACGAGAAATGCTGCCATTTTTATTTGTAGAGTGATATTTAGTTAATTCTTTTTGAAGATGATTAATAGATAAATTCCTCAGGTCCAGCAATTTATTTGAGAATTTTATGAGTTCCATAAGTATACGTTTGATCCAGATTACTACAGACTGTTCAGTTTTTGACAGATTCTCTTTTTCATGTGTTGTTTACTTATTTTGATGAATCTATGGCTAGTAAAAGAGTTTATAAATCATAGAGAAGTTGGAAAACAGTAGGTTTAACACTAATATAAATAAATAATTAGTTCATTACAGTACCTTGATGGTGATTTATTTTCTTATACTAACGGAGCTCACGAGTTTTCTACTTTAAGTTTTGTGTTGTGAAGTTTTCAAGTTTTGGGTAAACATTCGATGGACTATGGAATAAGGAGTGGCAAGAGCCTAAGTTTGGGGATACCCAAGGCTCCCCAAGGTAATATTCAAGGACAACCAAGAGCCTAAGCTTGGGGATGCCCCAGAAGGCATCCCCTCTTTCGTCTTCGTTCATCGGTAACTTTACTTGGAGCTATATTTTTATTCGTCACATGATATGTGTTTTGCTTGGAGCGTCAATTTATTTTGTTAGGATTTGCTTTCTGTTATTTAGAAAAATGTTTTGCATCTTTTATTTAATAAAAGTGGCATTGATAGCCTTTACTATACCTATGTTACAAGTATACATGTTGCTGTTTGAAAACAGAAAGTTTACCGCCGTTGCAATAATTCCCTAGAAAAGTCAGAATGTGATAAAATGTTGAAACATTTTGCATATTAAGATCTGATAAATTTACTACAGTTGGAATTTTCTTTCATAATTTTTGGAGCTAGGGAAGTATGGACGTTGCAGCATTTTTTACAGACTATCCTATTTAGGCAGATTGCTGTTATGTTTGCATTGTTTGCATATGTTTGCTTCTTTAATGATTCTATTTGAGGATAGGACTATCAAATATGCAGAGGCATTTAGTATGAAATGGTGAATAATAATTTTAGTGATTTTCTACAGTAGAGTATGATAAGGTTTTTGGCAATGGTTTATACTAACCTATCTCACGAGTCATTGTTGAGTTTTGTGTGGATGAAGCTTTTGAGATTTAGGGAGACCGTGATATGAGAAGAATTAAGGAGACAAAAAAACTCAAGCTTGGGGATTCCCAAGGCACCCCAAGATAATATTTCAAGAAGTCTCAAGCATCTAAGCTTGGGGATGCCCCGGTTGGCATCCCACCTTTCTTCTTCAACAATTATCGGTTAGTTTCGGTTGATTCAAAGTTTTTGCTTCTTCACATGATGTTTGCTATTCTTAGATGTCATTTTATTTTGCTTTGCTTGCTGTTTGAATAAAATACCAAGATCTGAAATTATTAAATGTTCGAGAGTCTTCACATAGTTGCATAATTATTCAATTACTCATTGATCTTCACTTGTACCTTCGGAGTAGTTTGTCATTTGCTCTAGTGCTTGACTTATATATTTTAGAGCATGGTGGTAGTTTTATTTTGAAGAAATAGATGAACTCTAATGCTTCACTTATATTATTTTGAGAGTCTTAATAGCATGGTAATTTGCTTAAAATCCTAATATGCTAGGTATTCAAGAATAATAAAATTCTCTTATGAGTGTGTTGAATACTATGAGAAGTTTGATGCTTGATGATTGTTTTGAGATATGGAGATGGTGACATTAGAGTCATGCTAGTTGAGTAGTTGTGAATTTGAGAGATACTTGTATTGAAGTTTGTGATTCCCGTAGCAGGCACGTATGGTGAACCGTTATGTAACGAAGTCGAAGCATGAGGTGTTTATTGATTATCTTCCTTATGAGTGGTGGTCGGGGACGAGCGATGGTCTTTTCCTTCCAATCTATCCCCCTAGGAGCATGCGCGTAGTACTTTGTTTTGATGACTAATAGATTTTTGCAATAAGTATGTGAGTTCTTTATGACTAATGTTGAGTCTATGGATTATACGCACTCTCACCCTTCCACCCTTGCTAGCCTCTCTAGTACCGTGCAACTTTCGCCGATACCATAAACCCACCATATACCTTCCTCAAAACAGCCACCATACCTACCTATTATGGCATCTCCATAGCCATTCTGAGATATATTGCCATGCAACTTTCCACCATCTTGTTCATCATGACACATCATCATTGTCATATTGCTTTGCATGATCATGTAGTTGACATCGTATTTGTGGCAAAGCCACCG